GAGTCTGCTCCTGCTGGCCAATCGCAAAAGAGAAAATTATCAACAACATGAATGTTAAAAATGTAATTAGTATTTGTAGTACTTTTTCTTTATTTACATCCAACAGAAACATGTCTAAGCAGGAGTTTATCACAATTATGAATCAGTTTGGAGACACTGGAGTTGAAAATTAAGTAATAAATATTATTCGCAAGAAATTATTTAATAATACACAAACATTTCTATCACAAAAAATGCAAACATATCTGTTATTTCAAGGAATGGTAATCGTCTGATCCCTGTAATATAATGGTTTGCATTGGTAAAAGTATCTGTAGTACAACATCAACACATGTGCAGATGAACTATATAAAATGCCGGCTACACAAAAATACCAGGGCCCACACATTTTTATTTACAATTAACAACAACAATTGCAGTGTGACCCTCATCTAAATGTTGTTAAATGAGTAACCTGGCAGTTTTCAACATGTGGCACTGCTACCTGAGGTCATAAGCAAAATTTGGTCCAAAACAAATTGTCATTTTCTCTGCAGTCATAGCCAGACTGCATCATCCCGACCACTGGTGCCAGACTAAAGACTATGCTGTTTGCTTTTGAACATACTCAAAATATTACTTAAAGCACAACGCAACACGGTCAAGCTCTTGACAACCATCACTGAATATTAACAGTGTTTGTAGAGGCAGCTGCATGTGTCTGTTTCTTAGGCCTTAAATGGGCAGCTAGGTGCAGGAAAGATGTTTGTGTTTACTGGTTGGCTGCTTGTGAGCAGACTAAGATGATTGGTCACCTGGGCATTTACCCAAAATGCTGCTTTATCTACAGGTCCTTCTGCCTGTAGTGTGGTCTAAACAACATATTCATTAGGAAAGTGACGCACTGGCAGCTACTACTGTCTGTCTCATCTGACATCAACACAGTATCCGTCAGTGACGCTGACACAGATTTTACATTGAGAGATACTAAATATGCTAAAGCTAAAACTTAAAATCTTTTCTCACCGAGTCTGAGAATAAAAATCAGATTTGAACTGCTTCGGAGAATTATTCCTGCTTTGGGTTCTTATTAAAGATTCTTTTGTTGGTTTTTGTTGTTACCGTCTGGTTATTTACATTCTTGACAATTCAAAGAATAGGATTCATTGGTGCTTGATGCTGTTTACAGTGTGTCCTTGAAGGCCTGACAGTGCAAACATTTGGATGACATCAGTCTTTATGAAAGAATTATTTTTGTTTCCGACATCAGAAGCTTCGGGCATGTCCACGTCCAGTCCTCATCAGGACTCGTTCCATCATAGAAGGCAGACATTGCTAACAGATGAGAATTGTCCACATAACACAAACTTTGCCCAATAACGTTACAACAGTTGTATCATGTTTAGTCTGAATCCGGTGCAGCATTTTGATTTCGACACATTCCACCCACTTAGCCATTCCATATTTGTCCACTATTATAGTTAAGAGGCAGCACTCCACTCTGGAACTCCACACCTGATGTGTGTGTGTGTCTCAAGTGTGTGGTAAAGTGGAGGAGAAAGACTTGATGTGTATCGTGGATGCTCTCTAAGAGGAGGGCTGTGAACGTTGTGGCAGTTCAGGGACAGAGGTCCAGGGCTCTGGTTCTGATAAAGCTCCGGGGGGATGTGTTCTCCCATCAGGGGAGTGCTCTGATGGGCTACGGTGCTTAGTCGGGAGCCCTGAGGGCTGGAGCTGTAGGGAGGATGCGGGGTGTAGGGAGGGTAATGTTCCATAGGTGTCATTGAAGAGGGCAGGGTACAAGGGTATGACCAGGATGAAAAACCGGGTTCGTCCATTCTAGGCTCCAAGTTGGCAAACATGCAGGCTTGACGCTGTCCCATATCTGAGCTGTAGGGGGCGTCCGCGAGACCATGGCCCGTGTTGGTGGGCAGACCAGTTGGAGAAGTGGGAAAGGAGGAGGAGGGATGATAATACAACTCGCCTTCAGTTGTTGAGCTACTAGTGAAGGGCTTCTTGTATTGGTGCTGGTGGTTTTCTGATGGATAGTTTTCCACCCCTACAGAGAGAAAGAGACAGTGATATACTGATGTTTTAGTCAACACTCGATGCTAATGGGAAAAAGTTAAGACACAGAAATTGTCTTTAATTTCCGGGACACTGCCCCCTGCCTGGATTTCTTTTTACACTCCCTTTTTCTCCCAGTTGTCACGACTTTTTGGAATAAAATGGAAAATAGACACAGTAGGTGGAGACAATACAAATAATATCAGGTAAGCTGCTGTTAACCCCCTCCTGACAGAACTGAAAAGTATGGAGTGGGTGGAGGTGCAGGACACACTCATAAAAACGTATTAATAAACACACCAATATCCTGCACATGAATTTCTCATTTTCAACATGAATTTAATGAAACCTTAGAACACCTGAGAGCACTGTGTTTAAGCCTTTCAATTCAATATTTGAATAAACAGAGCGTCTGTAAAGTGCATTTAGCTAAGACAATGTCACTGCAAATAGTGTCTGTGCACGTGAAAAAAATGTTGTACAAAGGTTAAAAAACTTTTAATCATTGCTACATTTCAGTGATCAACTGATAAAGTATTTTATAAAGGATTTTAGATGGTTTACAGATGGTAAAAATTAGCAATTCTAGGATTGGGGATATTAATATAAATAAATAAACACATACATACATTAATTAATTAATTAATAAAATAATGAGAGTCTGGTAATAAAAACATGATCCAAAAAAATGTATAGATAGTTATTTAGATTGAAAGTACATTAAAAACTCACCACCAAGTGACACCCTGTCACTTGAAATTAAGCCTTTATTAAGTCACCCTGGTTCATATTAGTTA